CTCGTCCGCTTAACCTCTACTGTACCGCTGCTGCCCGATACAGGTAACCCAAAACCCTAAAATCCAAGGGCCCGCTCGGCTTTATGGCGCCGGCTGCACTCGCCAGTCACAAAGCAGATACTAGCGGTCACATGTGCACATTTTATAAGAGTTTAATGTCATATTGAATATATATATTATATATATATTATATATTTATTATATATATATATATTATATATATATATATATATATATTATATATATATATATATATATATATATATATATATGTATATATATATATATCTATCATATAAATTATATATATATATATATATATATATATATATATATATATATATATATATATATATATGTATATATATATATATATATATACATATATATATATATATATATATATATATATATATATATATATATATATATTATATATATATATATATTATATATATATATATATATATATCATATAAATTATATATATATTATATATATCATATATATTCATTATATATAAATTATATAAATATATATACTATATATATAGTATATATAGTATATATCCATCTGCAATCTTCCCCTGATAGGATCAAATATATTCTGATGATTATGATGATTATAATAACCCAGATTTTAAATTGTAGAAAACAAAGATTATAATAATAATAATAATAAATATGTGTCTATATGTGTATATGTATTCATATGAATAATATGCACACACACACACACACATACTGTATCAGTCTATCTATATGTATATATATATATATATATATATATATATATATATATATATATATATATATATATATATATATATATATATAAATGTATATTTATGTATATATGCACACACATACACACACACGCACATAAATATAAATACATATATAAATATATATGTATATATGCACTCACACACACACACAAACACACACTCACACACACACAAATATATATATATATATATATATATATATATATATATATATATATATATATATATGTATATATATATATATATGTATATATATATATATGTATATATATATATATATATATATATATATATATATATATATATATATATATATATGTATGTATATATATATATGTATATATATATATATATATATATATATATATATATATATATATATATATATATATATATGTATATATATATATATACATATATATATATATATATATATATATATATATATATATATATATATATATTTATATATATATATGTATATATGCACACACACACACACACACACACACAAATATATATATATATATGTATATATATATATATATATATATATATATATATATATATATAATATATATATATATAAGTATATATATATATATATATATATATATATATATAAATATATATATATATATATATATATATATACCCGGGTTCAATTCCCCGTCGCGGCAGTTGTAAAAAAATGCCTACGCTCTGACTGCTGACTCGAGCCCGAGAAAACGACATATCGGCTTGAAAAGTCAAACGCAGGTGTCGTAGGGGAAATCACCGCCGTAGCACAAGTGTAAGCACGCCGAACCGCGGTTGATTAGGAAGGGCATTCAATCAGGCAAGGGTGACACCGCCATATAACCTCTCAATACTGAATTGAGAGAGGCCTATGTCCTGCAGTGGAGTGAATGGCTGTTAAAAAAAAAAAAAAAAAAAAAGAAAAAAAAAAAAAAAAAAAATATATATATATATATATATATATATATATATATATATATATATATATATGCATATATATACATATATATATATATATGTATATATATGTATTTATATACACAAATATATCCATAGTCTTTTCCTGATAGCTTCAAACTTATTCTGATGATTATCATGATGGTTATAACAACCCTGATTTTAAAAAGTAAAAGACAAAGATGATAATAATAATGATAATAATTAAAAGCAAACCTTAAAACACTCTGAACTGCATGACCCAACGTCACACCAAGGCTTTTAAGCGATTAAAGAAAAAAAAAGAAAAAAAATCACACTATTATTATTAATTCCGATGTTCCCATTAACGTTATAAAGTCTGTTCTTTCTATTGGAATCTCTAATACCGAGGCATTTTATCCACGGGGAAAAGGCATCAGAATGCTATCGTGGCAGATTCCCTGATGTTTTTGTGGGATTTAGTTCGCGACAGTTTATTTGCTGGTAACTGGTTTTGGTGTTTATTGAATTCTGTACGTTGTGGCATTACACAATACAGTTTTGGTGAGCGGAAAATGCAAAGGTTGACGTGTATCGAATTCTGGGGCAGAAGAGATATGCGGTTGTACGTCTAGATTTATAGCATGTGCAAATACACACACAAGCGCACATACATACACTTATCTATGTGTGTGCGTATGTGTGTGTGTGGTCTTCATCTTTCTTTTTTCTTCTCGGTCTTTATGAGGGTTACCTTTGCCTGAACTAATGAGTCACCGCACTTAACCTTCCCATTTTTGTGGGTGCTTATATTCCAAGAATCTGAACGGATCTCATTGTACCAGTAAGAGAAAGAAAGGAAGAGAACTAAAGAAAAAGATAAAAAGAAATAGGAGGGGAGAAACAGAAAAAAAAGAGCTGAAGCAAAGGAATAAACGGACGTAGAAAATGCAAAAAGATAAAACTGGAAGGACAAAGGAGTTGTTTTAGAGAGGGAAAAATATAGAAGGATAAATATAAGAGCAGACACTAAACATAAAAGCTGCTGGCTCGTTTTGGTAATGTCAAGACGGAATTTTTAAAAACTGAGATGGTGCTCGCAGGAAGTTTAACAGGTTTCTGCAACATCCCTGACAGCTCGGTCAACACCTGCGTTGTTTGACCGGCAGAGTGAGTAGAAATACTGCTTTCGGGTTCCTTTGCTAATGGAATACAGGGTCGGAGGAGAGAGGTAAGATTGAAAAAGAGAGATCGTGGAGAGAGGAAGTAGAAAACGAGAGGAAAGAGGGAGGGAGTTAGGTGGAGAGAGCGAGCGAGAGAGCGAGAGAGAGAGAGAGAGAGAGAGAGAGAGAGAGAGAGAGAGAGAGAGAGAGAGAGAGAGAGAGAGAGAGAGAGAGAGAGAGAGAGAACATAATAAAACAAGAATAAAGAAAAAAAAGATAAAAGAATAGAACTCTTAGAAACTCCAGCCTCATCCAAAGTCAGAAAATACTATCGTCAGTTATTTACAGAAAGTGAACCCGAATAAGTCCTAAGGTTCAGAACGCACGCTGGCCGCTGCTGACAAGGTACTGCTCTTAACTCCATTATTTTACCTTCAGCAACTTCTCTCTCTTAAAAGCTTGCTTTGCCCTCCAGTCGAGAGCATTTGCAAGTGCGTCGACCCCACTCTTTTGGTTTATTTGCGCGCTGTATTTGTTCTTTGCTCTTTCCTTTGATTTGCTTTGCGCTGTAGTTTTAAGAGGGTTTATTTTCTATGTTTTTCCTTTCTTTGTTTGAGGTTTATGCTGTTTTGTTATCGTGATTGTGGTAGGGATGATGCGTAAATTGATTATTTTAACAACATGGGTAAGATTGAGAAAAAAACAATACAACCACAGAAATTAACTCTCGAACCACACATGAATACAAACACACAAACAAAATATAAAACCCCTCCCCTTTCTCTCTCTTTCTCTCTCTCACACGCACACAAACACATGCTCAGGGAAACACACATGCAATTGCACATACTCAAGCAATATACGTTTCTCTCTCACAGTGGTCGCCAAAATGAAGTGCCTCAACTTGACCTTTCCACACCAGAGAGAGAAAGAGAGAGAGAGAGAGAGAGAGAGAGAGAGAGAGAGAGAGAGAGAGAGAGAGAGAGAGAGAGAGAGAGAGAGAGAGAGAGAGAGAGAGACAGACAGACAGACAAAGATAGATAAATAGATAGATAGATAGATAGATAGATAGAGAGAGTGAGAGAGCGTGCGCGTGTGTGAGGAATAGATAGATAGATAGATAGATAGAGATAGAGAGAGGGGTGAGAGAGAAAAAAAAAGAAATATGTAGATAGATAGATATAGGAGAAAGAGAGAGAAAGAGTGAGAGAGACGGAACTCGTGACCTTCTTGGCACTGGCCCGAGGCTGCAGTGCCACATTGCCTGGCGAAAGGTGAAGGGAAGTCTACCTTGCAAATGCTAATTGATGTCAAAGGTTGAATGAAGGTGAATGGGAGGGATGCTGGAGGGGCATTGAAGGGGCATTGAAGGGGCATTGAAGGGGCAGAGAGGGGCATCAGAGGGCGCTGAAGGGACATTGGAAAGTATTAAGGGAATGCTGAAAGTTGATTAGGTAGACACTGAAGGGGTAATGAAGGGGCGTTGCAGAGATGTTGAAGTTGCATTAAAGGGGCACTGAAGGGGCGTCTAAGAGATACAGAGAGGGCGATAAAGACGAAGACGGAATAAAAGAATGGACAGAGGGAAGGAGGGGGAGAAGGAGAAAGCGGAGTAGGTGGAAAATAAACAAAAATAAAAAGAGATAAGGAAATTGATACGAAAAAAACAAATAAGGGAAATAGTAGAATTGTTGTTGTAGTATTTATAACAGCTGTGTAGTGTAGATGTTGCTGTCAAGAAGTCATAGTAAAAGTAAATAATTAAAAGCAAAAGAAGAAATATATATATATATATATATATATATATATATATATATATATATATATATACATATATATATATATAT